CAATGAAGAAAAATAAGTTTCGCCCTGCAAGTGGCGAAAGTAGCTCCTATTTTCGCCATCAGAAATGCGAAACTATCCTGATACGTACACGTGTCACGATCTTATATTTTTGCTCTTTTTGTGGCGAAACAAATTTAAAAAAATAAAAATAAAATTATTTCGCCAGCCACTTTGGCGAAACACAACACCAACATGGCAAATTTACCCCAAACAGGGAAATAGTTTGAAAAAATATGTAATTTAAGAAATAGTTTTTTATTTTACAATATTTAAATAAAAAAAAGTCGTTGAAAAACTATGAATGGTTTAGCGATACACTGGAGGTGTGGAAGATGGAGGCGGTAGAAATACCTTGGGGAAGAGAGGGTGGTGGTGACACCAACAATGAACGTGGGTGCACCACAGGCCACACACTCTTCTCTTGACTTGGCCTCTAACTAACACCTTTACTTGGGGGCTCAATACCGTACACGTTGTATCCGTGAAGCGGGAGCTATCCAATAACCATCCATGGTGTGAAACTGAGTAAGTTCCTAAGGTTGAGGGTATCAGGAATCTGTGATCACAGTGAGCGTGGCTGACATGCAGCGAGTGTACATGTGTGTGGATTTTTTGATGATGCATTGAGAGCACCTGTGTGTGAATAAGAATGAAATGTTGAAATTATTACTTTTGCCTGTTTGATGCACGATTGAATTATATTAGAAAATGTGTGGAATGAGTAAGGTGAGACTCTATGCTTGTATATGTGTGTGACAGTGTAGAGTACTCACCCTTATATTTATTTTTCAAGAGACCAAGACAATCAGCACTGGTTTCAGTGAAGGGATTGATGAAACTACTATAGGACTTAGAAAGTTATTTTGAAAACTCTGATGTATTTAAACTAGTCCTATAGCAATCATTTGATATAAATTTGTAATTCATCTTTATTTTAAAATACTTTATTGAACTATGTATTTGGAATGGTTCGAATGAATTGTTATTATTCCAAATTTTGCAAAATTTAGTTATTTAGAAAATTTAAATTAAGATGTTACATCAAGCTTTTTCTGCTATTCTTGCTTGAGCAAGAGCCATTCTCGCCTGGGTGAGAAGACATCTAGAGAGTTGAATATTTTTTTATGAGTCTTTGCTTGAGCAACTCTTCTCACTTAGGCGAGATTCCTTCTTGCTTGAGCATGATCACCTCTCACTTGAGTGAGAGGACAGTTGGACTAAGCTTATCCCATTCTTGCTTGAGCGAGACTCATCTCGCTTGAATGAAAATACCCTGAAATCTTGTGGTTCTGAGCGTTCAGCGAGACTTGCCTCGCCTAAGTGAGACTCTGTGCACTAGACTTGTTCTAAAACATTCAAAACTTAAATTAAAACATATTCCAATATAATTATTAATCAAACAAATCATCAAATAACAAATAAATGAAAAAATGTTACATTCTCCACCAAAAGTGATAATTGGAAAGGCTTTTGAAAGGATATACACTGCGCGTAAACACTTTCCCTACTGAAAGTGAATGTTGCATAGCCAAAATTGAAGGTATATGTTGTGTGTAAACATTTTCCCTATCGAAAGTGAATGTTGTAGAGGATATTGAGATAGTATGTGTTGCGTGTTAACACTTTCTCTACCAAAATTGGAAGTTTTAGAGAACAAATGTGAGGATATATGGTGTGCATAAATACTATTGGCATCAAAAGTGAGTGTTTCAAAAGCTGTCAAGAGAGAAGATCTTGCGCATGATTACTTTCAGTGCAAAAAGTGAGTGTTCTAAAAGTTATCACAAGAAGATCATGCTTATGAACACTTTCAGTGTAAAAAGTGAGTGTTTCAAAAGCTGTCTTGGAGAAAATGGTTGGGCGTAAACACTTTTTGAACCAAAAGTGATCATGTCAAAAGCGCACAAAACTTATAAATAGCTAGAAACTCAAAATTAAAAGGAGTTTTTCTCATTTTTTTTCTTCTTTTCTACATTCTTAGGGAGCTAGAGAGAGAAGATTGTGGATGAATTTCAAGGCTTAATCCTTGAAGAATTAGGCTTGGGACTTGAATACATGAAGAATTTTTGCACCTCTTCTTCTACTTTTTTTCTCTCTTTTTCTTTTAGAATCATGTTCTGATTTGCTTTGGTTAGGAATTTATGGAACCTATTTGGACATTGTAAATTGATTGTGAATCTGAGTTCTAGGTTCTTGATTGTATTGAATATTTAATTCTTTCCTCAATGCAATTCTTGAATTAACTATCCAATTAAGGTGAACTTAGAGAGTTTACATAAATAGAAGTTGAATGAATTTCTCATATCTGAATTGAATGTCAAGATCTATGATATCTTAGGAATAAGCATTCATTATCTTGTGATCTCTTGATGGATGAAGGAAACTCACCCTTACAAACAATTTCCAGTAAAGAAGAAATAACCAAAGATGGATCCATTCAAGGATCATACGCGTACGAGACTGTAAGGAAGGAAACTGCTTTGTTAGACTGATTATTTTGAAGAATGTAACTATATTGATTAAGTTTCTAATTAGAACTTAATGTATTTTGATAAACTTATTGTAAATGATGATTCAAGGTATATGTGTAATAATTAACAGTTAGTTGTTTAAATTTTAATTTATATTCGGTGTTAGTTATAAATTTATTTTACTAAAAAATAGTTCGTCTGTATCAAGAACTCGAAATATATAATTATGTAATATGAAGTTTAGTTTTTTTTTTTTTCTAATTATAAATCTAAGTTATAAAACACATTGTATATATAGAAGCAATGAGAATTTTTTTTAGGGGACAGAGTTTCAAAGTTCATCGAGTTTTATTAATTTATGGTCATATATTTGTACAACTTTTTTAAAATCATTTCAAACTATTACAATTTTATTAAATTTTATTCAAAAGAATATATATTATTAAGGAAAACTATTAAATAATAGTAAGGATGTTACAAATAACAATAATAGTGAAAAATAGAATAAAAAATTACCTGAGAATAATCTTGAAAGTTTAAAATTCTTCCCTCAAAGATATAGATATGTTACATGTATTCACACTAAGATCAATATTTTGCATCAACTCTCTGATTGTGAAACTATCACCACCAGAATACATGTATTCAGACCAAGATCAATCTTTTGCATCAATTCTTTAATTGTGAAACTATCACCACTAGAATACATGTATTTAGAACAAAATATGAGTAAAGAAAAAAAATAAAATTTTTCTCTTTTTTCTTTTCTATGTTTAGATCATACAACAATTTGTTTAATATATAAAGCACCATATTGCAATAGTTTAACATGCCATATATGTACATGTTCAAAAATTATAATTTATGTTTCCTTATGTTTTGCTCCTTTACATTGTAACAACAAATTTGTTTTTCCTCTTTTTATTAACAATTCATTGACCAAAAACTAACAAGTTGGAGTCTCAACATTTTAAGTGAGTTTAGTTGATTATCATAAATCAAATTCCATTAATAAGTAGAATACTCTATGTATTATTAATATTCTTGATAATAGCAAAGGATATAATTATATTTCACTTAAAAGAAATATTATTTATTTAATAAAATTAAATTCTTCAATTTTAATTATCAAGTAAGAAGATTTTTTTTTTGTAAATTTAAAAAATTCATTAATGTGTGACCTCGTAAGTTTAATATTAAATTCATAATAAATTAATAATTATTAATTTAGTAATTAAAGTTGACATCTAGCAATACTTTTCAATGTTCATCCAGCATAGAATAATATATTTTACTTTCAAGAATTATTAGAAGATTAATGTAATTTTTTTCCTTCATTTATTCAAATCTATGTTAACTTTAGAGTATGATATTATCATTAAACTCCAATAAATTAATATGTAATAAATGACTCAAGAAATTTATTTTTATATTAATCAAATTGTCTTGACCTAAGTCTTTATTTTATAATAGAACTTATATTTATTATCGATAGTTGATGAATTTTTTTAATTAATCATTAGCTTTACAAAAATTTAATTATATCCAACAATCATTCAACTGGCACATAAAGGTATTAGGTGTATCGAATCAAAATATAATAAATAACCTATTAACTACTATAATTATCTTAAATTTAAGTAAAATAATATATGTTTTTATTGGAACTTTCTATTTATAGTTTAAGTAATATTAACCATTAGAAATTTTTACTTAAGTTAGTTCAATGACCATATTGCTGTATGTATAATCTATATATAATTTTAATAAATAAGATGTATTAATTTTTATCCAAAAAAAATATTACGTATATATTGACCTATAATAAAGAACAATTTAAATTTAAAGTATAATTTTTTTTAATAATATCTATTATAATAATAACTCTTTAATTTTAACTAAGAACTTTACCATGTTAACTAATAATAAATAATATTGTATATATAAAAACATAATAGATTAGATATTGGGCATACCTGTTTATCTCCATCATGCTGGACATGTATTGATCTCTAAATAACATCCTGAAAAAAAATTTTAAGCTATTAAAAGGTCATGAATTGTTTACTTTTAAATTATTTAATATTCAATACCAAGTCTTTTATTTTATTTCACACAAGAATTTGACTCAGATTATTATGCTTGATCCATTTTCTTGTGATTTCCATGAAATTACACATCTTTTCAAACTCACATTGCATATAAAGCAACGACAAAAAAAATTATCAGAGATTCACGGCTGTATTCCCAGCCCATTGTTTAATTTGCATGTGAAACCTTACTTTGTGTATAACTAATTATATAAACGAACACAATATCTTATATGGATGTAGCTCAGATGGTAGAGCGCTTGCTTGGTATGCGAGAGGTGCGGGATCGATACCCCGCATCTCCAAAAGTGCTTTTTTGTTTTACAATTTTGTGTTGATTCTTCCTTTTTGTCTTTCAAGGTAGAAAATCTTCTCTTACTCTTAATAATACCATATACCAAATCCATTCCCCAATGACCAGAACGAAGTTCTCAAGTCACATGCTCAAAGAGTCAGATAGATAGGAAGCTGGAGTTGGTGACTAAATACTAATACATTGCTTTCACTTTTTATAGCAGTCAATTTGTCTGCATCCATTAATGATATAAGCTGGTGCTATTTGTTAACCAACCTCCTCCTCATTTTCTTGTTTTCCATTATTAGACCTCCGTGAGGTGGCCTACTATATTCAGCTCCAGTTGCCACTTTTCCTCAATTTGTCTTCATCATAGAAACACAAACAGTTGAATAATCTCAATGCCAACGTCATCACATTCATATTAAGTTTCAGCTGTTTGCTTTCCCCGCATGCACTTACTACGTGTATAGTCATGGCGTTTGCACTCATGCTAAAGGGAAATTTCATCATAGTTACTTTAGTTTCCCTTGCAGTTTTTGGCTTTAATTCAGGTTATTTCCCTTTAATTTCATCATATGTGGATTTAACAAAGTTCTCTTTCTAACCATTTGTTCTATATTATATGCTCTATTGATCCTTATATCTACAATTTTGATGACGTGTGTATGTGGGAAAAAATGAACAGATGCTGCAGAGGGTGATTTGCAGGGCCAAGGCACGGTAAAGGCCTTATCATGCTTCGACAATAAGCTCGTAAGTAACAAGTATTGATTGCATTTGTTGGAAGTGTGTGACTTCATGTTAACATTCTGTTTTTTCCTTCTCGAGTGAAAATTGTTAATTATTTCCACTCTCCCCTAGCATATACAACATAATTTCAATCTATTACAGGCATGTTTGGTCATCTTATTGGCCATCAATCTCGCTTTCTTTCTAAGATATTCTTTTACCATTTCTTTTGGCTGCTTTTGAGTCTCTCCCAGATTTATGTTGGGTGTAATGAAGCATATAGATTAAACCCTTCTGGGAATATTAACATACCACCAGATGCCACTGATTTTTTCTGTAGTGGGCCATGCCTAACTGAAACACAATTAGTGCTCAATTGCATTGATAACATACTGTCCAATTTCATATTCTACAACAAAGCCACCGTACAACAAATGAGATATGCACTAAATGCTGGCTGCAGCTACTCCAGACAAAGAGGTTAGGATGCTAGTTACTTTCCACGGGGACTTAAATCAGCTTGAACTTCCTTTTCTTTTCCCATTTTCTTAAACATTTTACTCCTTTAACAAAATATAGCTACGTGTAGGGAACTTCAATTTGGCAGACTACATTGGAGGAGAGGCAAACAATGCTCACAAATCACCAATCGTGAATAGATTCTATCTTTTCATCACCGCATTAGCAGCGGCAGCGATTTATTTACTGTGACATCTGATGTATTGGCAGTAAGAAATAGATACTCGAGGGAATTATTTTCAACTTTTTATAGGATAGTGATAGGTTCCTACTTCCTTGTATCGTGCGTGGTTCTTGTCTTAATGTGCAAGTCTGTATGGAAATGGTATCCTACAGTGTGAAGCAAAGCTTTAAATGAAATATTTTCGGTCAGTCAGAAACAGTTCTGAATGGCTCAACAAAATATATATTACCTAATAGACGCCCAGAGACAGAAAGACAAAAAAAGAGTAGTTAAAATGTAATGTATTTCATATATTATTTCTACATTGGAAATCATAGTAGAGGAGTGTTTGTGACACTTCATAAAAATTTTCTACTAGTTAACATTCTTCAAAAACAATCGTGCTTCAGATTCATTTGAAACTACATGGATTCTCCTTTATTAAAATCTGCTAATCAACATTGTAAATATTGATACATGATAAAGTAACGTGCGCTCAAGAACAGGATCACTGCATCCAGCTTTGCGTCTGACATATCTCAGACCATTGGTTCCTTTCTAATTGAAAACAATGAAATGTCAAAATTGTCTGAAATTGGGCTTGATTGGTATTCGTTCTGCCATATTCATAAATTAGATTGATGGCTCCCCTCCAATCTTTATGACACTAATCATCCTGTGTTTCGACTATCCTGTTGCACTCTGTCCTGGAAGTTTCCTGATGCCACCCCCTCGCATCAATACTCTAACTTTCTCAACTTCATCCCATCTCCCTTCTTCCGCATAAATGTTGGACAACAACACATAATTTCCCGAATTCCACGGTTCAAGATGAACCAACTCTCTGGCTGCACGCTCTGCCATTTCCCTGTCACCATAAGTACGACAAGCACTAAGTAATGCACCCCACAAAGCAGCAGTTGGCTTCATGGGCATGCTCCTAATCAAGTCACGTGCTTCCCTCACGTGCCCACAGCGCCCAAGCATGTCAACAACACAGCCATAATGCTCCAGTTTTGGCAAAACCCGAAACTTGACACCCATAGAAGCGAACAACTCACGCCCTCTATCTACTAAACCAGCATGAGCACAACATGCCAAAACCCCCACAAAAGTGGAATCATTAGGTTCCACGCCTTCTCTTACCATCTCTTCAAACAATTCAACACCAACTTCACCCTTTCCATTATAAGCCAAACCCGATATCATTGCATTCCAAGAAATAACGGTTTTACGAGGCATGCCATTGAAAACGCCCCAGGAAACTTGCAAGTTGCCACATTTACAATAAAAATCCACAAGTGAGTTTCCCACGTTAATGGCGTCTCTGAGGAATCCCTTGGCATTTGCGTAGGAATGGATCCATTCACCAACATCCACAGCACCCAAGCGAGCACAGAGAGGTAGCACCGTTACCAAGGAGGCATCATCGGGTTCAAAACCCTGCTCCAACATTTCACGAAAAAGCTCAAGAGCCTCGTCGTATTTCTTACTCTGTACCAAGCAAGACATCATCATATTCCACGAAACCACGCTCCGTTCCTTCATCTGTCTGAAAAGCTTCACCCCCTTTTCCAAATCACCCACCTTGCAAAACCCACGAATCATCAAGTTCCAAACAATGACGTCTCTGTCACGCATTGCGTCGAACATCTTGTGGGCATCATGCATTCTCTCACAACTCGCGTAGAACTGAATAATCCCAACGCGAACGGAAGCGTGGCGCGCGAGGGCGAGTTGAATGAGATGGGCGTGAAGAGTCTGGCCGAGGTAGCAGTGGCGGAGATTGGAAGCGGACTTGAGCAAAGGGGGGAAGGTGTAGTGATCGGGGGAAATGGCGCGTGTCTTCATGAGGTAGAAGAGGTGGAAGGAAAGGTGGAAGGGTGGGTGTAAGGAATGGGCTTTGATGATGGCGTTGAAGAGGAGAAGGTTGGGGTTGTGGGTGTGAGTGAAGATGCGAGTGGCGTAAGGGATTTGATGAAGGGAGGAGCAAACGGAGACGAAGTGAGCCAGGATTTGGTTGGATTGGTGAAGGCCATGTCGGAGGAAGTGGGCGTGGATTTGGGTGAGTTGGGTGCGGGTTTTGTTACCGTGAAGTAGACGGAGAATTTTCCGCTCAACCTCCTCCCTACAAAACATTCACTTGCTTAACGTCACCACAATTTCATCTCCAATGCTATCAAGAGAGAAGTTGATGGTTAATTAAATCATATATTGTTATAAGATGAAAGAAAAATAAGAGATGAAAAATATTAAATAAAATTATTATTGTAAATCTTCCTGAATCATAGTTGATCAGTATATTCTCATGCGTTCATAAGATTCGTCTTTGACCGCTCATTTTTTTCGTAAACTGGTAAGTCTTAACTTTAAATTGTCCTTTTGTTTCATTTACGTGATTTTTGCCGCGTAGGCAACATATGTTCACCCCTAGTCACCGACACCTTATATTCACACCACCTTTCTTCTGTAAAACAGATAATGTAATTGGGATTCAACATTCTCTATCCACAGGCAACACAATATGGAAGAAGCTAGTCCACATATAATGCGTTTGCTACATCCTGCGTTCATCCTAAAATAAAAATAAAAATAAATACTCAAACCTTTCCCTACAAACCTCGCCCCATTCTATTCTTCGTTTCTCTCCTTTTAATTTTCTCCATTTTCTTACATCTGCTCTCACCAGCTACCTACCTCTCTCTCCCTTTATTGTTTTCACTCTCCACTTTCCTCTGTCTAATCTCTCACTTACATACACTTCACCCTTCACTTTGTTGGTCATCCGTTCATTTCTCACTAGAATTTCCATCAAATATTCCTTAATTGATCAGGTAAGTGGTGGAAATTGTGTATCAGGCTGACTTCTGCTTATTCGGATGTAAAACTAGTTCGTTCCTTTACTGTTATATTCCTTTGCTTTTAGTCTACAGCCATAGTTAGGTTTAGAAATTTATAAATATTTACCACATTTATTTCTAGACTTGGGTGTTTGGTCTAGTGGTATGATTCTCGCTTCGGGTGCGAGAGGTCGCGAGTTCGATTCTCGCAACACCCCTCTCTTTTTGATCACGAGTCCAAATCTCGGGCTTCTTTGCTTCCTTTTCCGGATCTGCTGTGATTAAACTTCTGTGCTTCTTGTAGCCAGAACTTTTATTTCCCTCTTCCCTATAATAGGTACACACCCTTTGCGGTAATGGACCCTCTCCCTCAGTTTCCTTTATACCGCCTTCACAAACCTTGGGTTCCGAATAGTTACCAAATAATTCCCTACCATGTACATGTATACAACCTTATAATACGTCTCTCTAACCACATTCATTATTATACTTTTCTCAACACAAATCTCCTCGAAGGAGAAATGTTATTCGATGAATACTGAATTAGATGTCACTTTTACTTATGCTATCAACAATTTTGGGAAAGCCCACAGCAGGCAGAAACTAACTAACAAGGGGAAAAAAATGATGGAAAGACAAGACCGAGAAAAAAGGTGCTAATATCCCTCAGAACTACATTCATTATTACGTTTTGACATGCAATGAATACTGAATTAGATGCCGTCGGGGGGCTCTTATTTAAATTGTACTGGGGCGGTGGGCTTGTTTGCTCAAGCGTCAGCATTGGGGTTACTTGGGCCTGGGCTCCTAGTTGGGTGGATCATCGTTTCGTCTTTCTATAAGTACATGAAAGCCATTCCTTCCACATGTGGTACACACAATTCCTCCAGGGACTTTACAAATGAACACATGGTCAATCCGCTGAGTATTAGGTAATGGACCACCAACATAAGCCCAGCCACAACCCGTACAAATAAGAGGCAGCTCCAATCCTCCAAACAGTTCCCTTTCTTTCAGAACTACCAAATGGAAAACAACGTCGATAGCAGGGAATGGCTCATTCAAAATCTGCAGCCCCAATCTATGATACGAAGCATCCAGTCCCTTCACAAATTTCATCACACGATCTTCCATCCTATAAACTTCCGCCAAAGGAGCTGCACCACAGCAACATTTAATACGACAACTGCATCGTGGTACGGGCCTCAATTCTTGCAATTCGATCCAGATAAGCTTCAACGAATTATAGTAATTCATAACACTTAATTCACCTTGTTTTAAAGCGCCTAGGGATTCTTTCAACTCAGCAACTCTATTCGCCCCGCCTTGCGAATAACGACGCGCGAGTTCGGCCCAAACTTCAGCGGCATTCATGGTATTCCAAGCAATGCTCCGTGCAATTTGTGGAGTCACGGAACTGCGCATCCAAGAAATCACCGATGTGTTGATTTGCTCCCAAAGCGGCAAGTAATGGTCCGTTGGGGAAGGTTTAGGGATGCCGCCGTCGATGATTCCCATCGCGTTTTCCAAAATCAGCAGCAGCTTCAGCGAGCTCGACCATGAGCAGAAATTTTCGCCATTCAGCAGTGGAGAAACGACTAGTAGAGGTGGATTTTCAGGTGGTGATGGCGTGGAATCTTCAAACGTCAGCATGGATGTGTTATCATCTTGGTCACTGGGATTGGAATCGGAACCTTCATCCATGGGAGTACAACGTAACAAGAAGCTTGCAGAGATTTTGAGAGAGAGATCGATAAAAATCCAAGTTCTGTTCTGTTAACTGAGAAGGAAAGCCTCCTTTATAACTGCCGTGGAACAAAAAAGCTAACTAACTCGATAGCAGAAAACGGACTCCAACTGCTCAAGTATGTACGTTACTATTAAGTGTAAACTATAATTCCAACTAACTCTGCTGCAATACTTTAAATCATTCTTCTCCTGACCTGAGTATATATTGAGTTGTGCCTGTTCCTCTTCACATTTCTAAAATTGCCAATATCGTGATATGCGGAGCAATATTTACTGCATTTTAAATTTTTATCGAAATGCCTATCTTAAATTAATTGAATCATGTCTTGCATGTATGGTCATTGCAAAGCCGATGCCACTGAAAATGTAAGGTTGTTGTCCATTCTTCTTTTTATACGCTTATAGTTTAATTAGGGTTGTGCCTGCTCATGTCTCTCTTCACTCGTATTGGTGCCAAGTGACAATGAAGGAAGCATGCATACCACACAAAACACAGATATGATACAGTTCCGACGATAAATTTATCAATACATAAAATTAGTAAACTAATATAGAAACATTAATTTTAAAGCAAAGGTGAATTTTAATTTTAACCCAAATTATTTTAAACATAATAAAAGAAAATAATATTATTTATATAATGATTATAGCTTTCTAATTTTTATTAATAAAAAAATTTAAAAATTATAAAATATAAATGCATCCGTAATTCCTAGGCGACAAATTTTATTTTGCCATGTATGGTTGGGTGGGTAATTTATCTGAATATTGTAATCTACAAAACAAATTATCACTTTATGGCTGATTTGAAACAATTTCCCACTTTGGGGATTTTTGAGTGACGTGTCGACAAGTTTTGACAAATCGTTGACGATTGTAATTTTTAATTATACTATTATTTTGAATTTTGCCAACCGAATTATGAAATATATAAGAATTTGACACGTATCACGTAAAGTAAAGTTTCGCATATTTGACGTCGAAATTTTTTTTTAATATATTTTTAAATTAATTTCGTCAACCGAATTGCGAAATGTATAAGAATTTAACACAGTTTCGCATATTTGATGGCAAAAAAAATTTTTAATATATTTTTAAATTAATTTCGCCACTGGACTGATGAAACAAATAAGAAACTGACACGTGTCAACAGGTTGTCTAAATCCCTCATTTTAGTGGCGAAATTATCAAAAAATCGCCCACAATACTGCGAAACTTACATTCGAATTGCGAAATTTAAACACTATATATACCCCAACCCTCCTCTCATTTTCACCGCAGAAGGGCATATTAGAAGAAAATCAGGTATGTGTTATTTAATAATTTTATTATTTAATTTTGAATGTATGAATTTAGTTATATTTAATTAATGAGTATTGTTTATTTTATTTATGTTAATTATTGTAAAGTTTAAATATTAAATAAAGTTTATTTGTACAAAATGCAGGATGAGTGGGATTGTTATTATTATATATTGGAATGGTAAAATCTATGAAGGAAATAAAGGAGTAAGTTTTGAAGGAAGTAAAACAGTAATTCAAATAAAACGATGAATAAGTTATGAAACATTGAAAAGAAAAATTCATTTGAAACTCAATCTTAATCATAATCAAGTGATTTCTAGATTAATTTCTCATTTTTTAATTGATGAAAATATTAGACAGTATACAGCTTTGGATATATGTGATGATGAAGATATTGATTGCATGATAAGTGCATTTTAACAACAATCTAGTAGAAATATTATTGAGTTATACGTAGATATTAACTGTTGGTGGAAGTTCATCAATGTCCTTACAGACGATGAATTTAAATTTATCACTTTCACAACAAAATGATAGGACCCTTGTGAGTCGTGATTATAATGAAGGTAAAATTATTTTTGTTCTAATATCTTTTAAGTAATATATGTAATTGATTGAATTAAAACTGATAAATTTGTTGAAATAAAGGAGTTAGGAATGATGCTGATGAAGATAATGAACACTCAGATTATGAGAGTTACACTGATGGAGATGATGAAGCAGAAATTTTGTTAGGCAGTTCTTCTTCTACTGATGTTGAAAGCGAGTTTGATTCCAACTTACATATACAAGTAACCGAAAATGTAGGAGGTAATGTGAAATAATTATAAAGAATTTTTTTGTGTGGTTATTTATTTATATATTAATGATAAAATATAATGCAGGAGATACTGTAATTTCTTTTTGGAATGTTACTCCAAAGTATAAGTATATTAATTGAGAATATCCTGATCAAGAAATGAATGAAAAACATCTTCAAGAAGTCAATTCATTGGTTGAAGGAGATCCTTTATTTGTTGGCTTATATTTTGACAGTAAAGAAGATGTGAAGAATGCATTAAAACATTACGCAATGAAGATTCATCAAAGTTATTTTGTGGCTGAGTCTAAACCAACATGTTTGTACGTTAAATGCTTAAATCATACCTTTGGTTGTCCATGGAAAGTGAGGGCTTCATTGTTGAAAAATTCAAACAAGTGAAAAATTACTAGGTGGGGTGGTTCACATACATGTGTCAATATGAGAATTTCTCAAGATCATCAAAAGTTAGATTCTGATTTAATTTGTTCATGCATTCTTGGTAAGTAAAATATCAAGTTTTTTATTTTATTTTTACAATGACATTGTTATTAACTTGAGAAAATTTATTTTATGTAGGAATGGTGAATGAGGAACCATCGGTACATATTTCATTGATACAAGAGCGAATATGTGCTCAGTTTGGATATAAAATTTCATATAAAAAAGCTTAGAAGGCGAAGCAAAAAGCCATTGTTAAAGTATTTGGTGATTGGGATGAATCATATGCTACCTTGCCTCGTTGGTTAGAATACATGCAATTACATTCTCCTGGATCTGTTTATAAACTTGAAACAAAAGAGTATGTGGTTGGTCATCAAGTGAATAACAGGTGTAGAGTATTTGAACGACTATTCTGGTCATTTGAACAATGTCA